CAGCACCAGGCCGGCTCGGACTCCTTACTCACTGGCATGGCCTTCTTCAAAATGAGAGAGGTAGAAGCGCAGAGCGATAAAACATTAATGATCCTGTAAAGTAAATTTAAAAACAGCGGTTTATGATGCAACGAATGAATTCTTTTCCATTTTCCACAGATGTTCTTTGAGGATCACATTGACGATGCAAAGTACTGCGGGCACTTGTATGGGCTGAGCTCGGGCTCTGCCTACGTCCAGAACGGAACAGGAAACGCCTACGAAGAGGAGGCCAACAAGCAGCAGTCATGACACCGCTCTGATTCTCCGCCGCCCTGCAGCACCCACAATCCGTGCAGCACTCAGGCCTAGCCGGGCAACGACAGTGACAGGAACTAAGACGGAAAAGAAAAAGAACCAACGACATACATATGCATCATTTAGCAAGCTATTTGTCATAGTTCAGCATAGACGTTACGACGGTGAACAGAATCCCAGCTGTCCTCGTTCATGCTGCAGACGCATGTGTGTGAGTTTAGTCTTTTATTCCTATGAGGGGGCAGAAAGGATGGTTAGTTCAGTTTAGTTCAACATGATTGAAAAAGATTGCGTTTTAGTTTTCCTGAAGTGTTCTGTAGACATGTTTTGCACTTTAAAGCTCTACCCTGATTTTAAACGGAAAGCTGGACACGTTCCTGGTGTGTGTGAGTGTGTGTGTGTGTGTGTGCGTATTTGTGTCTTTGCTGCCTTCTGTGTTCATGGTTTCCATTGTGAACATGTACAACCACAACAAAGCAGCTCTCACCATGCTCAGCCTTAATATAATCTGCATTCTTCTCTTTTAAACTTTTAATTTATTGTGTGTCCCTTCCTCACTCCGCACACCCAGGAGCTCTCCTGAGAGTGTTTACCTGCACACGACTCTTCTGTTCATATAAAGATTGTTTCTAATGAATCAGCTCTGATTTCACTGTGAGCCAAACTTGTGCGTCCGCTCAAGAATAAGACGTAAAATTCTCTTTTTATTTCTGTAAGCTGCGTTGTGTCTTTATTTTTGCTCAGATGAGTTACACGTCTTACGAGTGTGTGCTGGTGTTGTTTAGATGAAAGTGTTATTTGTGCTTGTAAACACCTCAGTGACACGTGCAATCAACAGAAGCTCTTACACTAAACATTAGCCAGCTACTCTGCTCAGTTCATTTTTGTGGATCCTCCTTTTGTTTCAGTTGTACATGAAGATATTTTGGTTATTGGAATAGTAATGTAGCTTATTAAAACTCTTCATTGAATTGTTTTCTACGTTCTAGTTTCCTCATGCTGCGTCCTGAAGCTGCATGTACTAAAGCTCCAGACATAACGCGTGTTGTTGAGTAGCATCCACATCTGGCCGAGTTTCGGAAGTGTAGGTTTGTGACTTCTATTACCCTGCTGCTGCGTCTGAAACGGACGGGTTTTTTTTCCTTTCCAGCAGGTCATCCACCACACTGTAAAGAAAGGTTATGCAATATAAGAGAGGAATGTTTTTAGATTTTTTTGTAAATAAAGGCTTGAGATTTTTCTACAACTCCAACACTCTTGGCTGTGGCTTATTTAACTGACAACAGATAGTAAAATGCAACATGTAGAAATAACATAATATACATGAAATATTCAATAACTAAAGATTATGTACATAAAGTTAGTCATACCCTGGTGAAATTCATCACCCCATTTGACCCCGTCTCCATGGGAAGTGGTGGGCTGCAGCAGTGGTTGAGCTCGGGAACACTTTGGTGGTTTAACCCCCAAAGCTTAGTGTTGAAGTATGACCTAACTGGGATTCGAACACTGATCTCCTACAGGGGTGTGTCCAGGGAGTGGCCTGGGGTAGCACATGCCACCCTTAGAATCTGATTGGCCACCCCAGGTGCCACCTCACTAAATTCCAGTTTAAATTGACTTTACATTGTCGACAAAAGGCTTGGGTTGTAAACTCCAAAATAGTGTGTGGTTACATGCACCTTTCACCTTGTTTCTAGCCCAGGCATGTAGTATTAATATTTTTTCATATTCACATACATGATATTTAGAGTCCCACTCAACTCCAGTTGGTGGCAGTAATGCAACAAGAAGTGACTTGCTAACCACCACAAAAGTAGAAGATGAAGAGGAAAAAAAGGTGATTGTGCAATGTAAAACTCAAAAATTCACTAGAAAGTAAATAAATAAATAAACGATTTGTGTAAATAAATAAATAAGCATAACCATTGGTGCCACCCATGAATAAACAAGTGCCCCACATGGGCCACCCCATTTTAAAAGTCCTGGACACGGCTCTGATCTCCTACTCTCAAGGCAGACACTCTGACCACTAGGCCACTGAGAAGGTATGGTACAGTTTCTAAAGTACTAGAAAGAAACCTAAATGTATTTAATCCCACCCCTGTTCTATGCTAATTATTCCCAGTTTACTTTACAGTTATGTTTAATTCTGCTCATTAGTAAACTGAAATAAAACTACTCAGAAAGTTGATGTAAAAATAAACCCTCAAGGCTGGGATGTCTCCAGCATCAGATTTGGGTCCTGATCAAAGCATTTTCCATTGAGGGGTTTGGTATGGTGACATATCTGGGGTCTCGTTTATCAAACATTGTGTAGAATCCTTACTAAAACTGTACTTAAGCTCAGCAAAAAATAAAAAACGTAGTCAAGTAGGTTTGTGATCCATCAAACGTGGAGTACGCACAGCTGCACGCAATCTCCGCTTCATACATCAGAAACTATCTAGAAATGCACGCACACACAACCATTTAGTCCAATTACGCACACAAACATACTCTTCACATTTACATACGTTCTTCTTCCGCACAGACATACTCTTCTCTCACACAACAACACATATTTTCTTCCATTTTCACAATTATATATATTTTGTCTGAGATATTCTGATAACGTCAAAATAGAAAGCCTGTATGTATGTGCAAGTGAGAATATATGTGTATGAGAGTAAAGTATATCTATGTGAGAGGAGAATATGTGTGTGAGATGAGAATATATGTGTGAGACGAGGATATATGTGTGTGAGACGAGAATATATGTGTATGAGAGTAGAATATATGCGTGTGAGACCAGAATATATGTGTGTGAGACGAGAATATATGTGTGTGAGATGAGAATATATTTGTGCGAGACGAGAATATATGCCTGTGAGATGAGAATATATGTGTGTGAGACGAGAATATATGTGTGTGAGAGGAGAATACATGTGTGTGAGAGGAGAATATATGTGTGTGAGAGGAGAATATATATGTGTGTGAGATGAGAATATATGTGTGCGAGAGGAGAATACATGTGTGTGAGAGGAGAATATATGTGTGTGAGAGGAGAATATATATGTGTGTGAGATGAGAATATATGTGTGTGAGAGGAGAATACATGTGTGTGAGAGGAGAATATATGTGTGTGAGAGGAGAATATATGTGTGTGAGACGAGAATATGTGTGTGTGTGACGAGAATATATGTGTGTGAGATGAGAATACATGTGTGTGAGAGGAGAATACATGTGTGTGAGAGGAGAATATATGTGTGTGAGACGAGAATATGTGTGTGAGAGGAGAATATATGTGTGAGAGAGGTGAATATATGTGTGTGAGACAAGAATATATGTGTGTGAGACGAGAATATATGTGTGTGAGATGAGAACACATGTGGGTGAGAGGAGAATATATGTGTGTGAGACGAGAATATATGTGTATGAGAGTAGAATATATGTGTGTGAGACGAGAATATATGTGTGTGAGAGGAGAATACATGTGTGTGAGAGGAGAATATATGTGTGTGAGATGAGAATATATGTGTGTGAGAGGAGAATACATGTGTGTGAGAGGAGAATACATGTGTGTGAGAGGAGAATACATGTGTGTGAGAGGAGAATATATATGTGTGTGAGATGAGAATATATGTGTGTGAGAGGAGAATACATGTGTGTGAGAGGAGAATATATGTGTGTGAGAGGAGAATATATATGTGTGTGAGATGAGAATATATGTGTGTGAGAGGTGAATATATGTGTGTGAGACGAGAATATATGTGTGTGAGATGAGAATACATGTGTGTGAGAGGAGAATATATGTGTGTGAGACGAGAATATGTGTGTGTGAGAGGAGAATATATGTGTGAGAGAGGTGAATATATATGTGTGTGAGATGAGAATATATGTGTGAGAGAGGTGAATATATATGTGTGTGAGATGAGAATATATGTGTGTGAGAGGTGAATATATGTGTGTGAGACGAGAATATATGTGTGTGAGATGAGAATACATGTGTGTGAGAGGAGAATATATGTGTGTGAGAGGAGAATATATGTGTGTGAGACGAGAATATGTGTGTGTGAGAGGAGAATATATGTGTGAGAGAGGTGAATATATATGTGTGTGAGATGAGAATATATGTGTGAGAGAGGTGAATATATATGTGTGTGAGATGAGAATATATGTGTGTGAGAGGTGAATATATGTGTGTGAGACGAGAATATATGTGTGTGAGATGAGAATACATGTGTGTGAGAGGAGAATATATGTGTGAGAGAGGTGAATATATGTGTGTGAGACAAGAATATATGTGTGTGAGACGAGAATATATGTGTGTGAGAGGAGAATATATGTGTGTGAGAGGAGAATATATGTGTGTGAGACAAGAATATATGTGTGTGAGACGAGAATATATGTGTGAGAGAGGTGAATTTATGTGTGTGAGACAAGAATATATGTGTGTGAGACGAGAATATATGTGTGTGAGATGAGAATACATGTGTGTGAGAGGAGAATATATGTGTGTGAGACGAGAATATATGTGTGTGAGAGGAGAATATGTGTGTATGAGAGTAGAATATATGTGTGTGAGAGGAGAATATATATGTGTGAGACGAGAATACATGTGTGTGAGACGAGAATATATGTGTATGAGAGTAGAATATGTGTGTGAGAGGAGAATATATGTGTGTGAGACGAGAATATATGTGTGTGAGAGGAGAATATATGTGTGTGAGAGTAGAATATATGTGTGTGAGAGGAGAATATATGTGTGTGAGACGAGAATGCATGTGTGTGAGACGAGAATACATGTGTATGAGAGTAGAATATATGTGTGTGAGAGGAGAATATATGTGTGTGAGACGAGAATATATGTGTGTGAGAGGAGAATATGTGTGTATGAGAGTAGAATATATGTGTATGAGAGTAGAATATATGTGTGTAAGACGAGAATATATGTGTGTGAGACGAGAATATATGTGTGTGAGACGAGAATATTTGCCTGTGAGATGAGAATATATGCGTGTGAGATGAGAATATATGTGTGTGAGACGAGAATACATGTGTGTGAGACGAGAATATATGTGTGTGAGACGAGAATATATGTGTGTGAGAGGAGAATACATGTGTGTGAGACGAGAATATATGTGTGTGAGACGAGAATATATGTGTGTGAGAGGAGAATACATGTGTGTGAGAGGAGAATATATGTGTGTGAGAGGAGAATATATGTGTGTGAGAGGAGAATATATGTGTGTGAGACGAGAATATATGTGTGTGAGAGGAGAATACATGTGTGTGAGACGAGAATATATGTGTGTGAGAGTAGAATATATGTGTGTGAGACCAGAATATATGTGTGTGAGAGGAGAATATATGTGTGTGAGACGAGAATTCATGTGTGTGAGACGAGAATATATGTGTGTGAGAGGAGAATATATGTGTATGAGAGTAGAATATATGTGTGTGAGACGAGAATATATGTGCGTGAGAGGAGAATACATGTGTGTTAGACGAGAATATATGTGTGTGAGAGTAGAATATATGTGTGTGAGACGAGAATATATGTGTGTGAGAGGAGAATATATGCGTGTGAGACGAGAATATTTGCCAGTGAGACGAGAATATATGTGTGTGAGAGTAGAATATATGTGTGTGAGATGAAAATATATGTGTGAGACGAGGATATATGTGTGTGAGATGAGAATATATTTGTGCGAGACGAGAATATATGCGTGCGAGACGAGAATATTTGCCTGTGAGATGAGAATATATGTGTGTGAGATGAGAATATATGTGTGTGAGATGAGAATATATGTGTGTGAGACGAGAATATATGTGTGTGAGACGAGAATATATGTGTGTGAGACGAGAATATATGTGTGTGAGATGAGAATATATGTGTGTGAGATGAGAATATATGTGTGTGAGACGAGAATACATGTGTGTGAGAGGAGAATATATGTGTGTGAGAGGAGAATATATGTGTGTGAGAGGAGAATATATGTGTGTGAGAGGAGAATATATATGTGTGTGAGATGAGAATATATGTGTGTGAGAGGTGAATATATGTGTGTGAGACGAGAATATATGTGTGTGAGATGAGAATACATGTGTGTGAGAGGAGAATATATGTGTGAGAGAGGTGAATATATGTGTGTGAGACAAGAATATATGTGTGTGAGACGAGAATATATGTGTGTGAGAGGAGAATATATGTGTGTGAGAGGAGAATATATGTGTGTGAGACAAGAATATATGTGTGTGAGACGAGAA